CCACTGCCTCCCCTTGCCCTGCTGGGCGGCGCCGAGTTGGAGCAGGGGTCCTGTCCATCCCTAGGATGCAGCCCTCTCGGGGAAGCTCACCAGGCTCTGGGACAGGGAGGGAGAGGAAGAAATGGTCGTCCCTTTCCTGATGGCGGGTGGGAGCAACATGGGAGATTATTACAGTCTTTCTCAATACCCTGGGACCAGCTGGAGAGATGTCCCGGCACCTCCCAAAGGGAAAAGCTGTTCTCAAGCAGTCGGACAGGACTGAGGCTGGCTGCCCCTGTCCAGCCAGGGTTCCGCCCAGTGCCAGCTTGGCGCAGACTCGAGGCCCTAATAATGTTTGCTGGATGCCTTGAATACAAGCGTCAGTGCCCAGAACCTCCTTGAGATTTCAGCCAGGCGTGCCTGCCCCATCCCCCATTCTGGGGAGCAGAATAAGTATGGGGGGTGGTGACAGGGGACACCATGAGGTGGTGGCAGCCTCTGCGAGAGAGGCAGGCTGCTCAGCCCAGAGCTGGGGGGTAGGGGTGCCTTGTGTGCGGCTAATTAAACAGTGACTGTGATGAATCGGGGAGAGGCTGCTGCTTGCTAATTAAAGGTGCGGGCGCCTTGCCTGGCAAGGAGGGAAGGCAGGGCAGCTCTGGAACCATGTCAAGGGGCCAGGCCAGCAGGGACAGCGCCCGGGAAGAGCCCCCCACTGCACCGGCTCTGTGCGTCCCTTCCATCCTCAGGGCCTCCCAGCAGGCCGGCGGCCCTCTCCCCACTTCCCTATCTCTCCTACCCACCTTTCCGCAGCCTGAGGCCTTGGACTTCCCCTCCCCACCAACCAAATTGCTTTCCTGATAAGGGTCCAGGTCTGGGGAGGAGGAGCCTGCTGTGTCCACTGTCCGGGCTGGTTTGGGGCATGTTGTAAGCCTCTGAGGTGCCTCCTTTCACCCCATTCCCAAGCCCCCAAAGTTGGGCAAAGGAGTCCAACCAAGGTGAAGGTTGGCTGTTGGGAAGGAGGCCCCAGTATGACTTTGATATTCATAGATTCTGAGCCTCATGGGCTTCAGGCATCCTCCAGTGTCCCAGTTGTGACTATACCTGATGTCAGCCGGGGTCTTGCTTTGCCCCAGATGTCCTGGTGTGTGTGAAAGACAGAGACTGAGAGCTGGCACTCCTCTCTGTTCCAGTACTCCAGTCCCGAATGAATGATCTCTGACCCTTGAAGATTCCTATGCAGTGGACAAGGAGACCCCAAAGCTGCCTGTCCCTTTGGAGCCAGGCTCCAAAGGCCAGATTGGTGGGTGCAAGGCCCAAACCCGATGTCAGCCTACTGTGTGACCTGGGCAAGGAAGCTAATTGCTCTGTGCCTCAGTTTCCCCACCTACAAAGCTGGGATGGCAATGCTGCCTACTTGAAGAGTCACCAATGGGGTCAGGAGAAATAATTCTGGTGAGGTACTTGGCACAGTGTCTGGTCCATAGGACAGCCCCAGGAAATATCAGCCATGGTTATTTGAAAAGTCAGGAGACTTGGGTGTGTGTGGCCTGACCCCCGCCTCTCCTCCATGTGACCTCCTCCCAGACACCGTGGCTGCAGCCCTGCGCTGAGGACAATCATGCCAACACAGGGAGGGGCATGTCACCCTTCACACAAAGGCTCCCACATCCTTCACATGAGGGCTCCCATACCCTCTCTAACCCCGAGGACCTTTTGGGGAGGTAGAACAGCAAAGAAAAAAAACAAAGTGGATGCTCAGAGAGGTTAAGTGACCTGCCAAAGCCACACAGCTAAGTAAAGGGCAGACAGTCCTGGGCCCCTTGACTGGGGGAGATGAGGGAATCGGGGTCCCCATGGTGATATCTGTTGAGTTTTACTGGGTGCCAAGTCTTAAACCAGCCGCCATGGAGAATCTGAGACTCACTCTGCCTTTTAAGAGGAGCAAGTCTGTAATGGGAGAAAACGTATACGCAAATAACAAGAACGCAATGCGATGTGGAGGCATCTGGACAGGTGCATGGGTGCTCCAGCACTGAGCCTGGGAGCTGAGAGATGCTTTGTCCTGGAGCTTGATGTGCAAAACAAAGGTTCTGCTTCTATGTGGAGGGTAAAATGGGTATTGAGGGAGCTTGGTGGGAGGCTGATAGCACCCCTCTGGTGTTCCCAGGAGAATCTTTCACAAGGGGAGCCAGTCCCATACTCTGCTCTGGGAAGTGCCTGGTGGTTCCTGACACCTATGGTGCCTGCTTCTGTGGTTCTGGGGTCTGTCACTTGAGATATGCGAGGGTTCCACATACTGTGGTTTTCAGAAACTACGCTGTCCAGGACCCCCAGCAAGAATCCATCCATGTCCAGAATGGGCTGTTATGGGCCGCTTCCAGGCGGCCAGGCATTCCCTGGGATGGGGGCTTCCTATTGCCAGGCAATGCAGTGGCAGGGAAAGAAGGACGCAGGGCCCTAAGAGGCCAGAGACAGTGCAGACCTTTCCAGGCTGAGGAACTCAAGGCTGTTGGCCCTGACGCTGGGATGCCCGGGCCTTTGGCAGCCAACCCAAAGCACGCAGGGATGAGTGCAAGGTCACTGGCCTTGGGGGCAAGATCTACATCCTCCCTCCTCAGATCAGGGCTCAGCCACGGGAACGGAGCGAGGGCCTGGGCAGGTCCAGCCAATGCAAGCAAAGCTAGCAGCTCCTGGAAAACACACCCTGATTCCGAGCTTCCCGGGGGCCCAGTGCCCTTGCTGGGCCAAATGCTGGTCTGGGGCGCCCTCTGGTGGCCATTCTGGGCAGTGGAGAAGCGGCTGCAGGTTCAAGGGTGGGTGGTCAGAGTTGGAGGACTTGAGAGAGGATCAGCACTGCGCAGACGGCAAAACCAAGGCCAGAACAGACCCGGACCTCCCTCTGCATCAGAGGCTTCTCTTGGTGGTTAAATCTTCCCCACCAGGGGAGGGAAGGCTGAGTGTCCAGGAGGCTCACTCCCCAGTGACTGCAGACAGCTGGATGGCAGGCCGATGAGCAGCTGCGTGATGGGGTGAAGGGCAGGACTTCCCTTCCTTGCCCTCGGACTCCTCACCTCTAAGACCTGGGGCGCCATGCTGGCAAGAGGCAAGGGGACTGGGGTCCCTCTTGGACACTGTGCTAGCAGTGAGGCTGTAACAAGCCAACCTTTTACAAAATCCTAAAATGAAACATCACGCTTGGTGGTGAAAGAGTGGGTGCTCTCCCCCTGAGAACAGGAACAAGACGAGGGTGCCCACATGGCCACTTCCATTCAACATTGTGCTGGAGGCTCCATCCAGGGCACTTCTTTTCTCAGGCAAGAGAAAAAAAGTCATCTAGATTGCAAAGACAGATGTGGAACTATCTCTATTTGCAGATGATATGATCTTGGACAGAGAAGACCCTGAAGAATCCACCAAACACCAAAATATTTAAATAAATGAGTTCAGCAAGGTTGTTGGATACAAGATGAATATACAAAAGGGAACTGCATCTCTATGTACTTGTAATGAACACTTCAAAAGCGTAATTAAGAAAATAATTCTATTTACACTAGCATCAAAAGGAATAAAATAATTAGGAATAAAATTAGCAAAAGAAGTGTAAGACTTATACCCTAAAACTAAAAAATACTGTTGAAATAAATGTTTTAAAGACCTAACTAAACAGAAATAAAAATCTCACATTCCTGGATCTGAAGACCTAATATTAAGATGACAAGACTTTCCAAATTGATTTTCAGATTCAACACCATTCCCATCAAAATTGCAACTTACTTCTTTGCAGAAATTGAAAAGCTGATCTTAAAATTCATATAGATCAAATGACCATAAATAACCAAAACAGTATTTAAAAAGAAGAGCAATGTTGGAGGGCCCACTGTTCCAATGTCAAAAGCTACAGTAATTAAAACAGTAGTATTGGCATAAGGATAGACATAGATTAATGGAATAGTATTGAGAGTCCAAAAATGAATCCTCACATTTACAGTCAATTGATTTCCAACAAGAGCGCCAAAGCAATTCAATGGGAAAAGGACAGTCTTTTCAGCAAATGGTGCTAGATAACTGGTTCTTACATGCAAAAGAAGGAAGCTGGGCACCTTTCTCATATCTTACACAAAAATTAACTAAAAATGGATCTTAGACCCAATGTAAGAGTTAAAACTATAAAACTCTTAGAAGAAAACATAGGCATAAAATCTTTATGACCTAGGATCAGGCGGTAAAATGACACATCAAATAGGGCACCAAAATCACAGCAACAAGGTAAAAATAAATTGGACATCATAAAAATCAAGAACTTCTGTGCTACAAAGGACACCATTAAGAACGTTAGATGACAATCCATAGAACGGGAGGAAATATTTGCAAATCATATATCTGATAAAAAATTGTAACCAGAATACATAAAGAACTCCTACAACTCAATAATAAAAGACAACCCAATTTAAAAATGGACAAAATATCTGAATAAACAAAGAAGACATATAAAAAGAGCTCTTAAGTTCATGAAAAGATGCTGAACATCATTAACCATCAGGGAAATGCAAATGAAAACCACAAGATGTTACTTCACACCCACTAGGTTTACTATAATCAAAAAGATGATAAGTTATGACACGGATATGGAGAAATCAGAACCCTCACATACTACTGGGTGGAACGTAAAATGATGCAGCCACTTTTGGAAAACAGTCTGGCAGTTCTTCAAAAGTTAAACATGATATGATTACCATAATATGATCCAGCAATACCATACCTAGGAGGTATATGTCCAAGAGAAATGAAAACATCCATTCACACAGAAACTTTCATGAATGTTCACTCAAGCATTATTCATAGTTGCCAAAAGGCAGAAACAACTCAAATGCACATAAACTGATGAATGGATAAATATACAGTGGTATATCCATACAATGAAATATTATTCAGCAATAAAAAGGAATTAAGTACTGATACAGGCTATGACATGGATAAACCTTGAAAACTTTATGTTAAGTGAAAGAAGTCAGTCACAAAAGATCACACATTGTATGATTTCATTTATATGAAATGTCCAGAATAGGCAAATCTATAGAAACAGGAAGCAGATTATCTTTTACAGCAGTGGTTGCCCAAAGCTAGGGGGAGGGAATTGGGGAGTAATGGGTATGGGGTTCTTCCTGGGATGATGAAATGTTCTCATACTGATGGTTGTACAAATCTGAATATACTGCAACCATTGAATTGTATGTTTAAATGGGTAAATTATATGGCATGCGAACCACATCTCAATAAGACCGTTATTTACAAAAAAAAAAGCATCTTTTGGACCCATGATTTCTTTCCACTTCTAGAAATTTCTTCTAGGAATCAGTGAAGTACACAAGGACAAACATAAATATTTCCATCACAGAATCACAGAACTGTTTGTAACAGCAAAAGTGTGAGCATAATGTAAGTGTCCATCAGTAGGGGAATGGGTCAGTATGTTCAACCTTATGACGAAACAGTGGAGTCCTTAAAGAAGATTGAAAATGAAAGCCACATTTACTAACATGGACAAGTCCAAGACAGACTGTCAAGTCAAAAAAATAATCAAGTTAAAATATAAACCTGAAGATTAAAAGGAGGGTAAAAGACAGATTTTTTTTCTAAAGAAGAAAAAATTATAGTACTAGAGATGCACACTGGTGATAACAAGCAAGAAAGTGGTTATCTTGAAATCAGGCTAACAGTAACTTTTGGGGGGAAGGAAGGGAGATGGGGCATGCTGAGGGCTTGTGGGAAGCTGGTAGCGTTCTTCACCTGGGAGGTTATTCCTAGGGTGTTTGCCTTAGAATAATATGTTAAGATGAACAATTACTTTATATGGTCTTTCTGTATGTGCCAAATGTTTTAATTAAAAAGTTAAAAAAAACAAAATATGCTCACTCCAATTTAAAAGCAAGTGTCATAGGATTCCTTTCTTGTAAAAACAATCTATGTCTAATAAAAATACCTGAAGATTGGGACTTGGGGTGCTCTTAATATATTTTTCTGAATTTTCCCACATTTTCCTGCAATGAACAAGAAGTACCTTTACAATCAGGAAAACAATAAAGCCATTTGTTGTGTTTCAAGCATTCCCTTGCCTCTGACACTGTGTGAGCAGAAATGTAGACCGTGGTGATGCCTGAGCAGCTGGAGACAGTGCAGGGGCAGGTCAGGAGAAGACCAGCATTCACTGACTGCCTGGACCCTCAGGGCCTAGCCAAGACCCTAAGGCCTAGCTCTCCCAGGAGCTTCCCAGAGACGTGGCCTTTTGGGCTGCTGGCGGCAGCCACTGCACAGCCACCCCGCAGCTTTGTACCCCAAAGCCCCTGGGAACTCACCTCCGGCCTGGGGCACCTGATGAGGGTCGTTTGCTCCCATCTGTACAAGTCTCCTATTGTGGGTGAGAAGGAGAAGCCCTAGGCAGGGGCAGGTGGGGGCTGGGGACAGATGTTACTACCAGCAAAACCCCCATAGTAACAGCTAAAGGAGCCCTCACGACTCATGGCACCCTTGCTAGGTAGTTAAGTGGTTCGTTTTGTTGAGTCATCCCAATAATCTGAAGCTATGGGGGAGTCCGACGCATGGGATCATCCTCCATATACTACAGAAGGGCAAACTGAGCCCATCTAAGAAGCCTAAGTGACTGGGCCCAGGCGCTGGGAAGCGGAGGTGCTTGGAGCACCCTCTGAGGTTGGACTCGGACCCCCTGCATGCACAGCCTCAGTGACTCCTTTCAGGACCCAGGAGAGTGGCTGTACTTGTTTTGCAGCTGACGACCCTGAGGCTGAGAGACGAAAATCACTTGTCCACGTTCCACAGCAACTATGTGGCAGGGCCAGGTGCACAGCCGGACACTCTCAGCTCCTCAGCCAGGCGGCCTCTCCCACCTTTGTGGGCTGGCTCCTAGCAGTGTCAACAGAATGACTGTATTAGAACTTCAGGAGCGTGTGTGCCAGTGGCCAAAGTGCTCTCATATATACATTCATTTGCTCCTCTCTTCAGACCTGTACATCTTCAGTCTGACTGTGTTTCCCCTCATTCTAAAGCTTGGAGCCTGGAGGCCCGGAGAGCTGAGTGACAGGCTGAGAGGGCGTGGGGGCCTCCATTTGGCAGCTGCTGTCCCTGCCCTGTGCCCTGTGGTGTGGAAGCTCTCAGCGGCAGCACAGCCAGCTCCTGTTCCCATTGCAGGGGAGGCAGGACAGCAGCTCCCCAGAGGATCGGGGCCCCTCCCGGCTCAACCTCCCAGCTACAGCGTATTCCTTCCCAGCAGGAGGAAGGGCAGCTCCAGGGACAGCTGCCAGGGCCTCAGGGAATCCATAACCCTCTTCTGCCTCCTCAGGTAGCCCAGCCCAAGATCATCCCGTGCCCCCCCCCATCAGTCAGTTGCGGAGCTCACACTTGGGACAGAGGGACAGGCCACTGCTAACAAGAAGGGTTGCTTCCTCCTGAGCACCCACTGCCTGCCAGGCACTGACAGGTAATCCAGCCTCACGAAACCTTTCAATACATCATATCAGCCTCATTTTACAGAAGAGTCAGTGAAGGCTCAGAGAGGTTGACTTGTTCAAAATCACACAGCTAGGCAGTCTCAGAGGTTCCTTGTGGCAGTGTCAATCAAGGAGGGGCAGAGGAAAGGATTATGCAGGACCCTTCAGGGGGAGGAAAGGAACCCAGTGTGGGGGAGAAGTCGGGAAAAGGGAGGGCACGCATCATGAGCTCTGACTCTCTCGGGATGTGACTTATCCAACAATCCATGCGTTCTCTGTTCATTTACACATTTGTGGACCCTCTCCATACACCAGTATCTTTGCTGGGTATGGAGGACTTTGGTAAACCAGGCTCACCTTGGCTCTCACAGAGCTCATGGCCTAGCAGGACAGAATGGAAGGGAAACAGAGGCAGGCGAGCAGGCGAGGCAGAACCCTTGGTCTGCTGGTATTTACTGAGGGTCTGTGGTGGCCAGGCCCCCTGCTGAGCCCTGGGGGCACCAAGTGAATGAGAAGCAAGGCTCCTACCCTCCTGGAGCATCTATTCCAGCGCTGTCCAGCCCTGAAACTCCGGAAGCCCTGCCTGCATGAGCCCTGAGCCCTGAATATAAAGGAAAATTTCTTGGGAAGCATTAGGGGATGCAACAGATAATCGGGGCTTTCCATGAGTCACACACGGGCCTGGTGCAAGGCTGCTGAGCAGGGACCTAGAAAGAGTGGGGAAACCCAATTAGGACTAAATCAGAGCCCTGGGGAGGCCAGACCTGTTCAAAGGGATCTGGAGTCATCCAGTCTGGACAAGTGAAGACCAGACATTTAGGCTGTAGCCAGATTTCTGGGAATCTCCCAGTCGGGAACAGAGGCCACTTGCCTGAGTCCATCCAGGCCCCAGACACCTTTGCTCCTCTGACAGCAATGCTGGCTCAGACGTGGGACGATGGCATTCACTTCTAGCTACTCCAGTTACGGTCCACTTTACAGCCTAGGAAATGAGAAAGAGAGCAGTGAAAGGACTTGCCCAAGATCACACTGTCAACCTGTAGCACAGGTGAAATGTGAACTGGACACTGTCGACCCTTCCACCAGCTCACACACCAGGATGCCACCCGGGATGGGCAAACCCAGAGCCAAGCTGGTGATGCCAGTCAGCACTGCAATGGGGGTGCAGCACGTGTTGTGGACACGAAGGGAAACTCCTTTCCTAAGCCTCCCCAGGCGTGGTGAGTTTTATTTTTTGTTTTTCTGCTTTTCTAGATGCTCAGCCTTTGCCATCCCCCCAAGATGTTAAACTGAGGGGTCCCTCTCAGTGTGAGTAAGACAGGATACCCCACAACCACTCCATCCCAGCAGCCAAAAATAGAAACATTTGTTTTTTTAAGTGGAATTTTAAAGACTGTCAAATTCCTTGCTGGGAAAGAGAATCAAAATAGGGGAAGGAAAAAAGAGAGTGGCTAAATAAATTAATAGTATATTGTATAATCATTAAATAACTTTAAAAGAAAATGTCCCACATACAAGTAATGTAGGGGAGGAAGCCAGCTACAGAATAGGATCAGAATTAACCTACACACTTAGGCACGTCTGTGTGATCCATATAGAAAAGCAGGACTGGGGAGAAATACAAGCAGGGCGACGGCAGTTAGCTCTCGGCGGCGGGCTGACAGATGACTTGCATTTTCTCCTGTCGTTTCCAAATTTTACAGTGACTATGAATTACTTCTATAATTCAAAATAAAACAAGAAAGTGAGCCCTTGCCCAAGCTCACTCCTGTTTCCACCGACCCTGTATGTAGTGCTGAGGGGCGCTGGCCACTGGGGCAGTCGGCACAGAGGTGGTGGGATTCACCAGCCGTCTCTGCCGTGGAGGAACCAGCAAGGGGGGTGCTGTCCCGCCTGGACCCGCAGGAAGGGTCGAGCGCAGACTGTGAATGTCCTGGTTGGGGACCCACCGAGAGATGATGCTCTCAAGGGCTGAGAATCAGAACATCCGTTTTCTGCTGTTTGAGAGAAGCCTTCATCTTTGTTCCTGGCATTTCCTCTGGAGCCCTGAGCACAGTGGAGGGCTGGCCTATGCCACCCTTTCACGGAGGGCCAGGGCAGGCTCTCAGGTTCCCCACACAGGCCTGGAGCGCCTGGTCCACATGGCCTCCCTGGACCCTTCCTTCCCACCCCAGTGCTCCGGGTCTCCTCTAACCTGAGAGGAGAAGGCCCAGGGGCACTGGCCCCCATCTGAGAAGGGCAGTCCAGGGTCATTCAAGAGCAGTGTTTGGAAAAGGACAGAGAGTCAGCCCAGCATTCACCCTCCTGGGCTTCTGTGCCCCAGGAGTGACCCAGCCCTGCTTGGGGCCGGGCCTCATCCTGCCCCATCCTGTTCTCACCCACAGAGTCTGCGCCCAGGCAGAAGTTTCCAGAGACAGGCCTTGGAGTTGGGTGAGTTCCAGGAACGGTGCCCTCACTTCCTTCCAGCGAGATCCCAGCTGCCCCCATCCCCCATCCCCGGGGCTGGAAGCATCTGCCCTCCTCCTGGGCTATTTTAGCAATCAGGTCACCCGCTGGCTCCCTCTGAGCTTGTGGTCAATTAAAACCCACAGGCTTTTTCACAGAAATGGTGGTATCTCTTTCTCCTCCAGATCCTGCCAAAGTCGGTGTCCTCAGGGTGAAAACAGAACAAGGTGATAAAATGGCAGCCATCCTGTAGCAGGGGCCCCTTGCTCAGGAACCAAGCCCTTGCTTTGCTTCCAGCCCCACTGTGGCTAGCATCCTGCAAAGGTGACGGACAGCAGGGAGGGGAAGCTGGTCCCAAGGATGTTTAGATGGTCTGAGCACCTGTGTCCCCACTCTGTGCCGCACTGGGCTATACACACAGCCCTCCCCCTGGTCTCAGCAGAGCCAGTCCTCATTGAGAATGGAGCTGAGCAGGGCTGGTGACCTACCAAGGTCACCGTGTGGTGAGCAGCAGGGCCTAGATGGACCCGGGGTGCCCCAGCAAAGCCCAAGTCCACCTCAGTTGCACTGGCATTTTCCGAGGGCCTGGCACTTGTGGTACCTGACCCAGGCTGTCAAATGAGCCCCGAGGGTGCAGCCTGGGGAGACCCTGCGCCCTGGCCTCTGCCCACACAGCAGGTTGCCAGGACCCCACACAAAGGCCCAAAGCCTTCTCTTACAGCCTGTGTGTGTTCTGCTCAGAGCTGCTGACAGTTCTGACCACCTGCTCCTGCGTCAGCCGCAGCCCGGCCAGCAGCAGGTGGAGCCCCCTGCTGAAGACCCCTACCCACAGCTCCAAGCTGAGGAGTGCGGCCATTCCCAGCCTTCCTGGCCAGCCCGGGGCCAGGTGCCAGACCAAGAGCAGAGCCCCTGCATCGGGTGACCTGCACTCTACCTTGGAGGGAAAGAGTAAACATGCGCTCGGCTCTCTGTGATTGTGCTATGGAGGCACAGCTATGCTGGGGAGTGGGATGCCTGAAAGGGGGGATTAAGAAGAGGGACACAGGCGCTGCCTGCCTGAGGTTGGGAAGAGCTTAGTGCGGTCCAAGAACTGAGCAAAAGACAGTATAGCTGAAGCAGGGCTGTCCAGCACAAACAGAATGCAAGCCATACACACAATTTATAATTTTCTAGTAGCCACAATAAAAAGTAAAAAGATACAGGTGACATTAATTTTCAAAGTATAAGTTATTTAATTAATCTAAAATATTTTAATTTCAACATATAATCAATATAAAAAGTAATGAGGTATTTTACATTCTTTTTCTCTGGACCATGACTTTGAGACCTGGTGGGTACCTTCTACGGACAAGTATCTTGGCCACATCTCAAGTGCTCAGCAGCCCCATACAGCTAGTGGCCACTGGTTGGGACAGCACAGGACTACAGCATGGTGAGTGAAAGGGAAGAGGTGTGAGATGCAATCGAGAGGTGGACAGAGGTCACCTTCAATTTTGTCCTAAACAGCTTGAGAAGCCATGGGAGGGCATTAAGCAGGGGCATGATAGGATCCACTGCGGTCTTTACAGGCTGACTCTGGCCACTTGGAATGCTCTGGAGCAGGTGGGACTGGCCTCCCAGAGAGAGCTGCCCAGGCCAGGATGGAGGGAGCCCTGGACCTCACTGAGGGCAGCCACAGTGGGGCTGCACGCAGTGCTGAACAGGCCACGCAGAGGCAGAGAGACAGGAAGAAGGCCCTGCCATCTGCTTTTTATCTCCCTCTCTGCCAAAATTCCTCCCAAGTAACCCTGTCCCAAGAGTTGCCTCCCTCCCAGGAAGAGATCTGCATAACTGCTATTTAACAAATCCTAAAGGAACATTTTGCCAGGGGCCCAGAATTTTGAAATGGCTGCCATGCTCTGCATCTCATAGAATCATTGCATTTCTGAGCAAGAAGAGATAAACCTATATGCTCAGTATCATATAATGATTAGGGGGTCTCTGGGGCCGACCTGCCTGTGTTTGAATCTCTGCTGTCCCTCTAACTAGCTATGTGACCTTGGGCAAGATGCTGAGCCCCTCCAGGCTTCTGTTTCCTCATCTGTATACTGCAGGCATGAATAATCTCTCTGTCTGTGGGTGACTGAGGAGGGGGTGGGTTTATACCCATGGAAGTATTTAGAGAAGTTATTAACACATGAGATAATCATAATCAAGGCCTAGGAGCAAGACCTGTCTAATGTCACACAGCAAACCTGAGGCAGGGCAGGAAGCAGAAACTAAATTTTCTAATTTCTGGCTCTTGCACAGTCTCCTCGCAATAGAAATTGCTGGTTAGCCCCTCCTTCAGACATTCATCATGTTCTCCCCATGTGCCGGGCGCTGCTGGAAGCTCAGGGGAGACACTGAGGTGGGACAAGCCCATCTCTACAAAATCAAGACTTTCTAGGTCAGAAGTAAAAGCTTTCTCGACGACTCTGGACCACGTGGGGAAGAAGGGTTTGTTCAGTGCAGGCAAAGCCCCACGTGCTGGTGACAGGGCCGTCCAAATAGTGCCGGCCCAAGAACTGGCAGACCCTGGGCCAAGCTCACCTCCGCCTGACCTGCTTTGTGACGTGGGCAAAGGCTCCACCTCTCTGATCTCAGTGTCCCTGGCTACATGGCAGTGAGCAAATGTTAAAACTGAGCACCTACTCTGTGATGCCCCGCACTCCAAAGTGCTTACAGCCTGACTAGGGAGAAGGAACCAACTGCCAGTCAGACTGGGATGAGACCTCCAAGGACATGGGCCCTGTGGCCCACATTTTGGGGGGAACATTCTGGAACATTCTTGACTGAACCACTCCTCTCAGCTATGTGTATGCTGGACCGCCTAGCCTTGTTTTTAAAATATGATCTGTCACTATAATAAACTTACGAGAGTCTGGGTCACAGGATTTCACATACCAGGCATATTTCTAAAGAAACTCTGGGGAACCTGCAAAGGACTGAAAATTTGTTATTCTGCCAAAGAAGGCCCTGAAAACCAAACAAATGGTGCTGGGAAAACCGGGCATCTACATGCAAAAGAATGAGAATAGACACTTATGTTACACCATACACAAAAAGCAACTCAAAATGGATTGAAGACAACACAAATGTAACACCTGAAACTATGAAACTGCTAGAAGAAAACATAGGAGAAAAGCTTCATAACACTGATCTTGGCAATGATTCATTGGATATGACAACAAAAGCAGAAATAGTCCCAGTGGGACTACATGAAGCTAAAAAGCTTCTGCACAGCAAAGGACACCATCAATGAAATAAAAAGGCAACCTATAAAATGGGAAAAAATAGTTGCAAACCATGTATCTAATAAGGAGTTAATATCCAAAATACATAAGGAACTTCTACAACTTGATAGCAAACAACCACAACAATAAATAACCTGATTTTAAAATGAGCAAAGAACCTGAATAGTTATTTCTCTAAGGAAGACATACTTATGGCCAACAGGTACATGAAAAAGTGCTCAACATCCCCCGTTATCCAGGAAATGTAAATTAAAGCCACAGT